ATTCATAATTCTGGGTCAGGAAATTCAAAACTTGCAGATTGTGAAGAAACACATATTTACAATTGTTTCTTTTTCTCTATGCATCAATTATGCTGGTCCTTGTTGGCAATGGCGTATTAGGCAAAGCAGTAAAAGCCATAATTGGCTGTTACTACATTTCAAATTGCTCAGGCAAATCATTTGCATAGGTGGCAAGAGGTGCTTTTGACAGCAGTTCACATTCTGCATCATTATAAAGTGATGACCAGTTCAAATAGAAGAAAGCTAAAAGGAATTCATTAGGTCTCCTTATATCAACATTAATCTTTGTTGTCTAAGAACAGATTCAGGACTGTACTCTTGTTTCAGAACATTTAAAAATCAAAAAAAATTCCTTTCCCCAGCCTAAGAGCTGTGATAAATCTAATCATTTATTTGATGATAGATGCTTATTATAATCACTTTCTAACAACTTGCTCAGCAATTAAAATCAATCATGATGTTTAATTCCTCTTAATTTGGATACTTTAGATATGTTTCATATGAAACTCTTCCTTCCAAACTTGATTAGCTGTTTTTAATAATCTCCATTACTCTTGAATTCTTCAACACACATGAATGTACTATTTTCTTCTCCCACATCTATTTTTATTTCAGTGGTCCCAAGATGTACAGTACATATTCTCCTCTCCTCTGTGGGTTTTTAATCCATCTCTCTTCATGTTCTAGCCAGGCACTCTGGACTATCAAAACTGTATAAATGTCAGTTAAACCATTTTATGTTCATGAATGAGAATTTTAGATTTAATGTTAAGATGCCACTGAAATACTGACCAAATCCATGCAACTTTTACGATATGCTTTGGTAGCGCATAATTTATTAATTGCCATTCCACTTTTTCTATTGAGCCTAATAAATCCCATAACACTAAATTCCAGGTATTTCATCATGGCACTCAGTTGTGCCTTTAAAACTAAAGCCTGCACTTCATGAGTGACCAGTGTAGACAAACAACTGGGTAAAACAGCAGAAGGGCTGAAGACTCCTCTGAGACATCCGATCCTTCACTCTGCAGTAGATAGTAGCCTTGCTCCTGCAGTCCTGCCTGCTACCAATCTTATCAGGAGCACAGGGATTCTGGTCTCAGTTTTCAACAACAGCATGAGCCTGCACTGTGTGACAGGCTAGCTGCAGAACAATTTCCAGTTTCAGAATCAAGGGCCATATTATCATGACATGACATGATTTGGGGGGAAAAAAAAGGCTTGAATCAAAAAGGAAACAGCTGAAGCATATGAAATGTAAACTGTTAAGTAAGCTTTCATTTCAGTAATACCTTCTTTTTCTTTTTCTGACCTTTTCCCACCCAGGCTTGATAATCTAGGTAGCAAAGGCTGTAAGATTTATCTGAGACATAATAGCTGCTAAAACCTTGAACTACTTCCTTCAGAAAAATGCGCAGAACAGGAGAAAGAAGAATTGCAAAGATTTTTTTAAAAACATTTATATTTTCTGTCTCCAGGGTTTATTGCTACTTGCAGCTTGAAACACAGATACAGCAGTCTTAGCAATCTCTTCAGGTTCTGATACACTCACACCAGCATTATGTACCTTGTGATATTGCTTTCCCATACCAGGCCCAGAAGTGCAGTCATCACCAGCTATGGTACATGAGTTTTAAATAGAAGACAACATCAGACAGAAATTATGAAGAATATCAAAACAGATAAAATTTATTTATCTTTAACTAATTTGAATAATACCGACTTTTCCCGATCTGTGCCAGGTACACTGCACTCATAAATTCACCAATATGCTTATTTATTATTATACTGGGGGGCAGAGGGAGAAAAGAAAAGAGAGTAAATGTACAGGATCAGGTGTTATTCAGTATTTACAGAGAAAAGTGATGGTGCCTGCTTAGGTCATTATTGCTTCTAAAATGTCACAGTATCCTGGGATCATGGCAACAAAAGTTGAGCAACACAGGATTTAGATAATCCTAGATTCAGAATCAGAATGCTGGAGGAGATTTTAAGAGGTTATCCAATTTATCTCCACATCTCTAAGGAAAATCAGCTTTTGCTGCATCATTTCTCAGTGCCTTGCCTTGCTTTGCCTGCTCTTGAACATCCTCCTTCAGGCAGACACAGGACCACCAAAACTATTTTTGGTCCTTATTGTCCTTGCCATTAGAAAACTTTCTTTCATACTTAGAATATATTTTAAATGTTTGCTATGTGTTCTAGCCATTATGGAAGCAGATAGCAGACACTTTTCTTCCACTTAGTAACAGCTTATTTACACTTTGCATTTCCTCTTAACAGTTTTCCTTTTCAAGATTTAACAAATCGAATTTGTTGACTCCTTTCTTTTGTAACTTGAGTTTCCTAGATTCTTGATTGATCTCAGAATACTTCTGGGAATATTCTATGAGTATGCCAGTTTTCCTGAAAATGCTAAAATTGGACTCATGCTATTCACCAAGATAATATTGAATTGTTCATCCTGTGTTTTGCGTGTTACTAGTCCCTTCTAATCTGGTTTCCCTGCAGAGTGCTTAGGCTCGCTTACTGCCTCCAGTCCGCATACCCAAGGGCTGACATTTTCATTTCCCTTCACAATATCCCCAAATACATTCACTTCTGATGCTGCTCATCTCATTAGATCTCTCTGTTAGTTGACTTATTGATCCATTTCAAATGTCATTTCCCAGCACAGTCTGTGGGGCAGATCAGCAGCTTTCCTTGCTCAAACACAACCTCCTTGTTTTTGAATTTGCAGAATTTGCTTATTTGAGTATGTTTCTGTAGCTGAGTTTTGTTTTCCATAGCCAAGAGAAGTCTCCATGCACTGTATGCACAGTGCGTGCACTTGTCTCCCACATGCTTGTGTCACACACGCCTTAATTTCATAGCAGGCACATAGATGTTCCCAAGCACAAAAAGAAAAAAGTGTCCATATTTCCCTAGATTAACAGTTCTGTAATAACAATGATACTAAAGAAATCCCTAATCTCAGTCAAAATGCAGAAAAGATTTTTCTTCCGTTTTAGTTATGAAAGAACAAATATAAACAAATAAATTGAACAAGGGACATTTTGACTGAGTAACAAGGCAAAATGAAGGGGAAGAAGAGGACATATGTGAACATCTTCATATAGATACTGGAGCAAGAGAACATGCACCACAACATCTTTAGTGTACAAGTAGAGGTATTGGGCTGTAGGAACTAATCTACAAATCTCATATACAGTTGAAAACCTAGAGGAACTCTGTCCTGTTCTTCTGGTTTTAATCAGCACTCTGTACTTCTAAATATTATCTACATTTCAGTTCTTTCAGGAAGTTAACACTAGGATATACTGAGACAAAATATAAAAACTATAAACATCAATATGCATATGAAACCAAATTATTTTGGTAAGGAAATTTATAAGCTAAAAAAGTGGTCTTTCTTATAAGATACAGTGCTTTTGTCACCAATTATTCCTTTAGGTTGATCCAAAAATAAAGTGCATTATTTAAATATTTTATTACTTCTAAAAATACACTATGGTCTAGAATTTAGTAGAATGTTCCATTTCTGTATAAGGACATTAAAGTCTAATCAATCAAAACCAAACAGTATAGTTTTATAATAGTAAGTATTATATAATAAGTAAGACAGTAATAGTATAATAACATAACTAAAATAGTACCATTCAGAAACAGCACCTTAGAAAATCTGAAATTAGGGTTTATTTCAAACTGTTACTGAAACATTTGGTATGAGTAGTATAACTCATTTGGGGAATGTCAGCAAAGCAAAAGCCAGAAGGTAAAACTGAGCTTAAATCTCAGATATAGATATCTCAAGAATTAACATGTCACCTTGAGAAGACTGTTGAAAATTTAGGACAGTTTTCCAATGAGGCAATCAAAGGAGTCAACTACTCATTCGGCCTTGGTGCTGCCAAAGTATTGGTCTATCCAAGAAGATAAAGAAAAGCAGACCTGTAGCTGTTCACTGAGAGTATCCATTAAGTTTCCTTAGGTATTGTTAATCAATAAATTGCAGCTCCTACATAATCTTTTTAGAGATACCTAAAGATACAGGCTGTCACTATTCCTTCTACTTAGTATCAGCAATCTCCTACTTCATTAACTCGCCTCACAACCTTTAGCCATCTTCTTTAATATAACCTTTGATACAACCTACTAATAAATGCTGTATTAACATCATGATCTTTATAAAAACATAATTGCAGTGAACTTTTTAATATTTTGGTCTCTGTCACCACAAGGTCTTCCTGCTCAGAGAAATACTTGTTTTGGTAATGAGAGCAATAAAGGAAAAACAGAGATCAGCTCTCTGAAAACCCTCCTGACATCCTCAGATGTTAGTGTTTTGTAACCTGTGAAATATATTGATTCCAGAAATACACATCCAGGAGCATAGCAGTTGATTATTATCTTTTCTTTGCCATTGCTGCTGAATGTTTTCTCCCAAGCTGCTGCTGCATACATAAAACAATACATGTGTTTCACCTTTAAGATGTTTTGTGTTTTAACTTTTAACTCTCTTTTGGGAAACCATATATATTAAGAGGTTGCTTCATTCTTTAGAGTAGAGAAAGTTTTAAGCAAATAGCTTTTGTCTGTTATCACACAACCTGTATCAAAAGGAACATTTTATATAGATCAAGCTCAAACAAAAATCCATGCTCTTTTTTCTCCAACTGTATTTTGTAAATGTCAATCCAAGCTTCTTTTCTAGTATATGTGTAAGTGCTGTAAATTTGACAGAAGAATATCTGAAAAACAGTAGATTTTTTTTGTTGTTGTTGAAACAGTGATTTTTTTTTTTTTCTGTTCAAAGTTGAAGCTTGAGAGAAGGAAATCCATGCCAATTTGTTTTCCTAACTATCCTTGACACCTCGATACCTAGGGAAACAATGCACTTGACTTGAGTTGGAAGCTACTCCAGAGAAACAAACACAAAATACAAAAGAAAAGACAAAAGCGAGTCAGAAAGATACCTTCTTACAACATCTTCTCTGTTCCAACACGGGAGTCCATCGGCAGCTGCCAACTCATTACTGCAGAGCTGATCAGTCAGGCCACCGTAAAAGGCTCTGTAGAGCCGGAGCTGGCTGGTAAATTCCCTGCACAGGGGAACACAGGAAATAATCGACAGTCAATAACATCAAGCTGTTGTGCATTTCTACAGAAGAAGATAAAGAATGTGCTTATTTTACTACTCTCCATTGGTTCCAATGATCTTTTTTTCTTAAATCAATTTGTCAGTTTCTTGTTAGATTAATTGGATTCTCTCAGATCACTTCAGTAGCTTTACAAGGTTGATACTCTCATAAGTGAAAATGAAAAAAAAACTAACTTCACTCATGCTCTGGAACAGGAATTATTTCCCTCCAACCTGAAAAAGCATAGCAATTTAAAATAATAATAATTAAATTGAATACGTAATCTGTTTTTCATTAATGCCACTAACTAGTCCGCTATACAGCATTACAAATACTACAAAGAGTATTTGTTAGTGATGGAGCAAGAAAAGATTTAGGTAAGATGGGTTTAAGACGTAGGTGTTAAATATTTAGTGAATATTTAAATAACTGTCTGAAAAATTACATCAGTTTTATCATGTGCTGTTGGTAGGTTATAAATTACATATTGCTATTTTAAATAATTGTCAAGATGCCCAGAGCTAATGATAAGTATTTGTACTTAATACAAATAAATGACTTTTTAGTTAGTATGTTTTTAACTGGATTGCGATATTTATGTTTATAAAATGTTTGCTTATGTATTAAAAATCTCTTCCTGGGAGACCCATTCCTCCTGTGAATAATTAAAATATTTATTCATTCTGGTTTAGAACATCACACTATACTGAGTTATCTATGACCTGCAGGCACAAAGAAAGGCAAAAGCAAATGCTGTACTCACTGCTCTGTAACACAGCAAGCTTCACTCTGTGTTAACTTCTTTTATGGTGTCTGCCACAGTGAAAAAATGCCAGAAATACTCTATACATTTCCCTGTACTTAGACAACACAGGCCTAAAATGGCATAAGGAATGAAATTATTAATTATTGTTTACTCTAAATTAAAACAGATAAAACACGAATCATTATATACATGAGTGCTTATATACAGTCTGTCATTTAAAAAGCCACAAATTCTTTCTTATAATTGTAGGGCAAATATTTTACACAAACCAAAGTGATTTAGATTTACTATATATATTAAATGTGATACAAGTACCACACTCCATCTAAAACTGCAGTTTGGAAAATCTCAGGTAGGGTCAAATTTGACTATGCATCATATAATTGCCTATACGCAATATATTTAAAATATGAACGTATGATTCATGCACACTCTCCCAAACATGAATAGTCATATCTTGTGTCTCTCCATCCCCAAAATTGGATCCACTGTGTACAGCATTTTTGCAATTTTTCTCCATTTCCCATTGAATGGGATTGATTTTGATTTTATCTATGCTTTGGGTTTGCATTCTGGCTGGAAACTTGTGTTTTGAGAGTCCTCTCATAGTAAAAAGCTGGAATTTCTTCTTCTGTACATCCATGTACAACACAGAAACTAAAATAAATAGAGCTGCCATAATATCTTGTGACAAACTGCATTCTAATGGAAAGGTCATTCAGTTTATTAGTAAATATATCCTGAGGCAAAGCTAAAGTTAATACAGAAGCAATAACTGATTTCATTCTCCCTTGATGTCTGACCAAAGTAGTTAGAAGGGCAGATGGTATGAATGTCAATTTTCACATCATCATCTTCTAGACCAGATAGCACATAATTATAGGCAGCTGAGCACAAATGTGCAATTACAGTCAGCGCAAGCTGGAAGCTGCAGATATTTCTTATCGGTTTATTTGGAAATGTTAATTTTTTTTTACAATTTTATTCTCTGTACTAAAAGTTGTATGCAATGTTAAGTTCTGGAGGAAAAAGCTTTATATACTTTTAAGTTTGTTACTATGGAAGTTTCTCCTCAGATTTTTTTAAATTCATCTGACAATTTTTGGTGTCAAAAGCACAGAGAATTTTCCTCTCCTTCTTATACCACATAGCACTAGAAAATACCAGCTTAGGTGTGATGGCAAAAATAATTTAGAAGTTCAGGCAGAGGCAATCTGACATGTTCTTTAAAATGGAAATTTTCATCCAGGGTTGTATCTGAAAATATTAGAAAATCAGGGAACTCACACATCTAATGGAATTTCCATTCATTTCCCCTCAGATAACTGTCATTGATCAAGTCTACATGGTTTGGGAGAACCCTGTTCTTTTCTGCTAAAGCCTGTGAAAGATGCTGAGAGCAACCTGCTGCCAGAAGTATATGAAAGGTAAATAAAGTGGTGTTACAACACCTCCTTAAAAGTACGCTGCAAACATTTGCTGTAGTCACTCTTCCATGTGAGGAATTGTTACAGTTGCCATGGGAATACAAAATGAAATATAAAGCAATTGTGACTAATAACAAAGGAGGTGATCCTGGAGGCAGCAAATGAAGATGGTATCAACTATGAAGTTGTTAAACTGAAATCTGTGTCAGTGGATCTCAAAATTTTCCCCTCTCCCCCTTTTTGGTGTAGCTCCTGCTGCATGCCATGAAGTGTTTCCAGCATCTCAGGCAGGTGAAAATCATGGCAAAATAGTATGCATTGTGCTGCTTATTGCCCTTCATGACCCTTCAGGTCTTCTTAGGAATATCCCTGAGGTCAACTCAGACAACACTTATTTTGAAACACGGTCCTGGATGAAGTGAGATTTTAGAATATGGTTACACATTTGAAGAAAGCTAGCAACCATAAAATATCAAGAACTTCTCTAGCTACATAACACAGAGAAAATGTGCCTGTAAAATGCGTATTGCCTGATGAACTTCTGTGCTGGCTAAACCAAACTTCTGGTTTGCATCTCTTTTCATTTCACAATGCTCTACAACCTATAGGTTTGGGTTTTGTTTTTATTTTTATTTTTATCTCCACTATTTGGAACTCAAAGGACCTTGCATTGACAAGAATGGTCTGCCTTTGAAGCTCAGAGGCTTTTTTTTTTTTTTTCCAGACATCAGGAATGAGCAATTACGCAATTCTCTCACTTCGATTTCCTTCCGCACTGCAAAGTGAAATAAAAGGAAAAAAGGGGACAAAGAAAACCTCTTTGTGTTTTAGCAAACACTTTGACAGAAATGAGATTTCTGATTTTAACTTTGCAGTTTGTTGGCATAATAGGGCGTTTAGTCTCACCTGTAATATTACTCTTTACAGTGCTATTACTATTGCAGTCATTAAAGACTTGATTAATTTGTCTAAAGATAGACTGGCTTTTGTGATGCCCTCAGCTATTCAGGATATCTGCAGAAAGCTGGAATATACAATACAATTTACAGGCCACCTTCTTGGCAGTGGAATATCAGCTGGGTATCCTCAAGTAGCGCTGGGTATCCTCAAGTGGCACTGGGTGGCACTGGATGCTTGTAGTTGTGTGGGCAGCTGAATTGAATCCTTCTCTCCATAGAATATCGCAGCAACTTAAACACTTAAATGTAGTCTGGCAGATTTTACTCTCTAATGGTAAGCCACATACAAATAAAATCTCCAAGTCTTTGCAGTGATCTCAATTTGCCATATACTGAGAAAAGTCTGAGAAAAAAAATCAAGGATTTCAAGTTTTAGCCCCAAACACTTACTTGTCTCATTTTTTATAGTAGAAGGGTATGTAAGAACAGTCATTCTTTTCTTTTTTTTTTTGACTGATCAATTTGTACAGTCTTCTGATGAAAGTCACAATCACTTTTTGACAGCTTTAATCATGCCTGCCAATGTGCAAGTTAAATGTACTTTGAAAATATATACATCAATATAAAGCTAACGTTCACATTCTACGAATGTTATCCAGTCTTATAAATGCTTCAAGCCACAACAAATGACTCGTCATATGTCCTTTATTTCAGAAAAGAAAATCTAGTCATAAAATTACACTTTCTAAAATGTAACGGCATATTATGTTCCTGAAATGCTTCATTCTTTATTTATTCTCTAGTAATTCATGCCGTTGCATTGAACATAGTCTATTCTGTTGTAAAATTAATGGCTTACTTTATTCTTTCTTTCTGGCTGTAAAACTAATATCTTACTTTCTTCTGCTGGAGAGGGTTTCTTCGCCGTCTCTTGAGAACATCTTCAACCCTTGATTATCTCTATTTTGATCTAAGGAGCAACCTGGAGACTGCATAGGCTTCCTTACAGGAGGACCACATACTTTGTTCACCTAAAAGGAAAAATGACACAAGAGGAAGAACATAACACATGTAAACAAAAAATATTATATATCGATTCAGTTTAAGTCCATTTAAATAAGAAATAAAGTTCTCTAGTCATTAAGCTAACAAGTTTCACTAATTATCATATTTCTCAACACCATATTCAGTAAACCCATAATTAGTCATTTATAGTAGAAAAATAACCAAACAAAATTACTTCTTTTGAAGGAATACCAGGTGTATAATCAAGTCACCACATATATTTTGATTGTGCTTTTTTCTTCCTGTAAAGAAAGCATATTGCTATGCAGATAGTAACAGTAACCTCAGATAACACAATGTGTTCTGAAGGGGCAAATTTCTATTTTCTCTGTAATACACCCCAATCACATTTTTAATATGCATTGAACTTGGTGATTTCTTTCAGGGTTGATGAATTATTATGGCATGTTCACCACAGTTACCCAGAGCTTATAGTGAACAGTTAGCATGGTGCAAACTTGCATTACAATGTTGCAAGATGTAAATTTAATGATCCAAGATGTAAGTTTAATGATTTGACCATAGATGTTGAAAATATCAAGGCATTTTATACATCTGGCTTTCTGATCTAGATGTCAACAGGCAGAAGTTCAAGTGAACTCCCATTTTCTTCTTAGCAAAATGTGATACTGAGTATTTTGTACAATGGAAGTTATCAATTCATCTTCGTGGCTCATTATTTTCCCTAGTCACTGAATAAAAATAATTAGGGCTATACATATTTATTAAATAAGAGATACTTCATGCTGGGGATCACATCTGACAAGATATTAAGCTGACTGAACTACACATATTTTGTGTTAGCTAGCACACAAGCACTACTGAAAACTAATACTATATGTGATTTATGAAAACTTGGGTTTCAATAGTCAACTTTTCTTTTTTAAAACAGGGAGAGATCACCGTTGTCTCTAACACAGTGTTCCAATTTTTGAAGCAGAAACACAGTCAAAATGAGAAAGAGGAATGGGTGCATATGGTATACAACAAAGATTATTGTTTCCTGTTGCATTGTACACCCCCGAATGTAAGAATAGAGAAAGGAAATAAATCTCATTCTTCAAGTCACCATCACACATGTTAAAGAGCAAAATGCAAGCCTTAAGAACCATCTTTCCAACTAAGAACTGCAGTAGTGCTAACTAAGAAATACATTTAAAATTTTAAATAATATTAACATATTTAATTTGATGAGCTTCCTTGCATGGTATAAGTGATGATAACTGAAGACTCACTGAATGTACTTGCTTAGGCCAGTCAAAAGAAGAAAGAATCATCATTATTACTACATATGAATAAGCATTCGACTTATGAATTTCAAGTAAGCGTAAAGTTCAAAGTGAATACTCCTTTTTGTCTGCAATTCACATATCTTAGTTTAGGCATCCAAGCTATTATTTGAATCCCCTTCAAATGAGGTGCATAAATTTACCCACAAGATAATTGTCCCTGGACACAGCTAAATTGAGGAAGTGTGGTCTGGATGATCAGGTAGTGAGGTGGACTGTGAACTGGCTGAAGGAGAGAAGCCAGAGAGTTGTAGTCTATGGGGCTGAGTCTAGTTGGAGGCCTGTAACTAGTGGAGTGCCTCAAGGGTCAGTACTGGGACCAGTATTATTTAATATATTCATCAATGATTTAGATGAGGGAATTGAGTGTACTATCAGCAAGTTTGCTGATGACACTAAGCTGGGAGGAGTGGCTGACACACCAGAAGGCTGTGCTGCCATCCAGCGAGACCTGGACAGGCTGGAGAGTTGGGCAGGGAATAACTTGATGAAATATAACAAGGGAAAGTGTAGAGTCCTGCATCTGGGCAGGAACAACCCCAGGTTCCAGTATAGGTTGGGGAACGACCTGTTAGAGAGCAGTGTAGGGGAGAGGGACCTGGGGGTCCTAGTGGACGACAGGATGACCATGAGCCAACAGTGTGCCCTTGTGGCCAAGAAGGCCAATGGCATCCTGGGGTGTATTAGAAGGGGGGTGGTTAGTAGGTCGAGAGAGGTCCTCCTTCCCCTCTACTCTGCCCTGGTGAGACCCCATCTGGAATATTGTGTCCAGTTCTGGGCCCCTCAGTTCAAGAAGGACAGGGAGCTGCTGGAGCGAGTCCAGCGCAGGGCAACAAAGATGATTAAGGGAGTGGAGCATCTCCCTTATGAGGAAAGACTGAGGGAGCTGGGTCTCTATAGTTTAGAGGAGACTGAAGGGTGACCTTATAAGTGTCTATAAATATATAAAGGGGGAGTGTCACGAGGATGGAGCCAGGCTCTACTCAGTGGCAAACAATGATAGGACAAGGGGTAATGGGTACAAACTGGAACACAAGAGGTTCCACTTAAACTTGAGAAGAAACTTCTTCTCAGTGAGGGTGACAGAGCACTGGAACAGGCTGCCCAGGGAGGTTGTGGAGTCTCCTTCCCTGGAGACATTCAAAACCCACCTGGACACATTCCTGTCTAACATTATCTAGGTGTTCCTGCTCCGGCAGGGGGATTGGACTAGATGATCTTTCGAGGTCCCTTCCAATCTCTAGCATACTATGATGTTGTGACATATGACTAGTGTCCGTTAAGGGATTTCATAAAATCATAGAATCATGGAATCATTAGGGTTGGAAAGGACCTTAAGATCATCTAGTTACAACCCCCCTACCGTGGGCAGGGACACCTTGCGCTAAATCATATCACCCAAGGCCTCGTCCAACCTGGTCTTGAACACTGCCAGGGATGGAGCATTCACAACCTCCCTGGGCAACCTATTCCAGTGCCTCACCACCCTAACAGGAAAGAATTTCCTCCTTATATCCAACCTAAACTTCCCCTGTTTAAGTTTTAACCCGTTATCCCTTGTCCTGTAACTACAGTTTCTAATGAAGAGTCCCTCCCCAGCATCCCTATAGGCCCCTTCAGATACTGGAAGGCTACTATGAGGTCTCCACGCAGCCTTCTCTTCTCCAAGCAGAACAGCCCCAACTTTCTCAGCCTGTTTTCATACAGGAGATACTCCAGTCCCCTGATCATCCTTGTGACCCTTCTCTGGACTTGTTCCAACAGTTCCATGTCCTTTTTATGTTGAGGACACCAGAACTGCACACAATACTCCAGGTGAGGTCTCACGAGAACAGAGTAGAGGGGCAGGATCACCTCCTTTGACCTGCTGGTCATGCTCCTTTTGATGCAGCCCAGGATACGGTTGGCTTTCTGGGCTGCAAGCGCACACTGCCGGCTCATGTTCATTTTCTCATCAACCAACACTCCCAAATCCTTCTCTGCAGGGCTGCTTTGAATCTCTTCTCTGCCCAACCTGTAGCTGTGCCTGGGATTGCTCTGACCCAGGTGTAGGACCTTGCACTTGGCATGGTTAAACTTCATGAGGTTGGCATCAGCCCACCTCACAAGTGTGTCGAGGTCCCTCTGGATGGCATTCCTTTCCTCCAGCATATCAACTGAACCACACAGCTTGGTGTCATTGGCAAACTTGCTGAGGGCACACTCAATCCCACTGTCCATGTCAGTGACAAAGATGTTAAACAAGACCGGTCCCAACACCGATCCCTGAGGGACGCCACTTGTCTTTACTTGGATACACTTTAGTATCCACCTCACCGTTTCCCATCAGAGGCAGTGGCTCCTTGGACAGCATGTTACTATACTTGTTCTTGCCCTCAAATTCAGTTTCAAAGCTCCATCACACTTTTCCCACCATTTCCCCATTAACTCTTCTTCAGAGCTCATGCTCTCCATCAACTTAACTGGACTTCCATCCCTTCCCCACCCATAAGTCTCTACACTCTTTCTAGGCTTCGTTCATTCTCATGGGTGGAGGAGTTTTCTCCTTCAGTGCTGCACCTCCCCAGTCTCTGCAGCAGTCTATTCCATCAGCCACTCTACATCAACACAATGTACATACAACAGAAACAAAAAATGCTTGTCCTTGTACTTGTCTCACTCTGCTCATATTCTCTTATGCTCACTGATCTGATATGGGGAGCATTATGCTTATGACTAATTTTTATTACAAAGCAACTGATGGTTTGGGTTGCCTCAATTCCAGGCTTGCCATATGCTCTTCAACAACTCTTTATCTTACCAAGAATGGAAACAAGGGTTTAAAAGACAGCGAGAGATGTGTAGATTGTTGTAGGTCTTAGGTGCCTTGCATGTCTGAAAGAGGCACCTTACCTGTTCAAGCACTCTCAGAGACTGACTGCATGGTGGGAGCCTGTGAGGAGAGGAGAAATATGGTGGAAATGATTCACTGGGTAATACAGGACCTAAGCAGACAAATAACAGTCCTTTGGGTCAAAAAAAATGACTCCGGTTATAGTAAACTGAAAAAAAAAAATTTGCATTCACCTACACTAGGAAGGCAGGAGAATCCACTGCTATCTATATTTCTTGAATTTACAATAATATCTCATTATAGTTTACTCTGTCTAAAATTAACAAATAAAGAAAATATTTTTTTGCAGTCATAGTGGCTTGGGATATGGATGATATTTATTTTATATCTATTAAACAGTTGCTTCAAAATACTGTCTAATGATCATTATCTCTGTTTATCCTCTTTGAGTGGTCTCAAGAAATGCATTGAAAGAAATTGGCACAGCTACAAGTTGGGCAGATAAGAGACTCAGAGCAGCCCTGCAGAGAGAGACCTGGGGGTGTTGGTCGATGAGAACATGAACATGAGCTGGCAGAGTGCGCTTGCAGCCCAGAAAGCCAACCGTATCCTGGGCTGCATCAAAAGGAGCATGACCAGCAGGTTGAAGGAGGTGATCCTGCCCCTCTACTCTGTTCTCGTGAGACCTCATCTGGAGTATTGTGTGCAGTTCTGGTGTCCTCAACATAAAAAAGGACATGGAACTGTTGGAACAAGTCCAGAGAAGGGTCACAGGGATGATCAGGGGACTGGAGTATCTCCTGTATGAAAACAGGCTGAGAAAGTTGGGGCTGTTCTGCTTGGA